AAATAAAAACAAAATAGATAAAATATTTATATAAATGAAAACTATACATTTTTATAATATATATGCAAATGGTAAATAAACAGTAGTAAATATAAAAAAATAAAATAAAATGTTTGCATATTTCAATACCTCAAATATTATTGAAGTTAGCTAATTTTCAGCACCACTGTGCAGTAGTTGTTAAGCATTACGTTTTAAATACTACATTATTTTTTCAATGTTTATTAAAGAATATAATTTTCCAAATGCTCTGTAACTTTTTATTTTGTTATTTTTTTACTTTTTACTACATAAGCGACTATTCCACGGTGCAGCAGTTGCTTTTAACGTTAATTGCCAAGCCGTTTAGGCCCTTTGGGTAGACTCACCTCGTGACAAGGGAATCCGGGAGCCGTTGCATGCATTATTGACATGACATCGGGCGAATCGGTAGATAACAAAGCCACGAATAACCATGGTGAATGGTGAATGAAACCAGCCCCCAATATAGTCAACAGAAACATATATACAATATATATATACATAAATGTATATATATGTATACATATACACATATAACTATTCAACTGACTGGCCCTATATACAAACACTTTGGAATAGTTATTATTGCTTCATATGAGAGACGATGAACTTTATTGGGGGAAGCCTTTGCATTGAAATGGATATTGCGTGCAAGTCGCAGTTGAATGAACCCCAACACTACTTGATCCATTTTAGTTGATTTGATTTGATTTCATTTCATCAATAGTCAAATTGCAGTGCACTGAACTTTTGAGGTATTGTTTGCCATAGTTAAGATCGTGTTATCACTATATAGTGATATATTAGCTATTAGCTATTCACATTCACGCTGAAACTCTGTGTGAAACTATTAAGGAAAGTAGTTTTCGGCATTAACCAAACTGTTTTCTAAATGGGAATTAGTTATTCTAATGATGATGAGCAATCGGCTGTTAGGAAATGTTACGATTAACTAAGCTCCTATTGTTATTTGGCCTGATTAAATTGATTAGGTATTCGTAAACGATTTTTAACAAAGAGCAAGAGTTTTCATGTAGATGGATTTTCTTCGATACTCTCTATTTACACTGATGACGCAATTTATTAATTTATATATTTAATAAAGTATGCAAATTATACTATTTTATAAGTATTGGTATAGTATAATTTATAACATTCTTACACACCTACAATCTATATTTAAGCGACTGAAAAAGTATAATTAGAACAGCCCCACCTTAACATTTTCTTTGATTTTCCTTTCACTTGACCCATTTGTTTATGCCTCTTAACCTTGAACTTAGGCGACGCTTAGGGAACTTGCATCTAATTATGGCTTAGTTCAGGCACATTTCAAACGTGGCCTAATGACATTATAAACGTTTATCAAGAAATTTCTTGACTAAATCCGTGTACTAGGAAAATTATTTAGGTTTACTTTCATTTTAGTTATTGTTCACTTTCTTTGGAATAGTTAAACTCATCTGACCTTAAAGAGCGAGAGAAGTACTTAGATAAAATCAGATGTAATTTTAAAAATGATTGTCAATTCTATTGCTAATTTATGTTTATTATTTTCGCCTTCTTACAGGTCGCGCTCATTGCAATAATTGCAAAATGGAAACGTGAAACGAAAACAAAATACGCAAATAACTAAAACTATTGCAACAACAACAACAACAAAGAGCGTAAAATGGGCACATAAATGCACAAAGCCACAACAATAACAATAACAACAACAGCAAGCGTTTCTAAAGCTTTAAGCAAAGCAGCCAAAGAAGAGGAAGCAGCAACAGCAGCAGGAGAACAACCACCAAAATTGCAGCAACAATTGTCAAGAGCCAATTTCAATTGTGAGTGCAAGCGAGTCCCCAATATGCGTCTAGACAGCGGCTCTCTGTCACGCCACAGGGCCAGAGGCGGCTGTTCGCTGTCGCTACCGTTGCTGCTGCTCTTACAGTTGACGCTTTGGGCTGCGACGGCGACGGCGACGCCCGTGCAGTCACGTTTTCTTGTAAAAAGAGAAACCTCCCAGGTGGGGGATATGGGCGTGGATGCCCATACGACTGACCCTGACATTGTTCAGCGAAACAGTGAAAGTGCGAGCGGATCGGAGACGACAACAGCAGCAACAACAATTCTAAGCAAAAGCATGGTCGAAGCCGAGTTAGCGGCGCAATTGCAGCTGAGTACAACAACAACAACAGAAGTGCCCAAGCAGATAACATTGTTAACAAATGAACTGGGCCCGCTGCCTGTAAACAGCAGTTCAACAGGGAGCCAGGCAGTTAATCAGCAGCAATCTGTAACTAACGGGAACTACAGCAATGTTCTGTTAACCTTAGCAGAGAAAGAGAATGCTGGAACTGTTAGGCAGTTGGAGGAGCAGTCAGAGCAACAGCCAGTTAACAGTGGCATGCAGCAACAGAGCTCAATAAATATTACAACAGAGAGCGTAGCAAAGCAACAGTTGAATGTAACAACAGAGACGCCGACTGTACAAATGCAGGATCAGCTCAAATCTCAAGATCAACAATTGAAAGAATCGTCAACTGCTGCTTCAACAACAACAACAACAACAACTGCAGCAACGACACAGCGTGGCGAAGATCATGCACGAGCCATGCAGTTCGCCAGCAGCACTGAAAGTCTGGTAGTCTTGGCTGTGACACCCATGAAGCTGCGTGCACTGCCCATGAAAACAACAATAACAACCACATCAACGCCGCAGTTGTTGGCTGCGCTGCTGCACGCTGGCGTCACAGTTGCGCCCAGTGCTTCGCATGAAAATGTTATCGAAGAAGAGCAGGTGAAGATGCAACCGCAGCACGAGAAACGTGCGAAGTTCATCAGCGACAATTCGACAAATGCGCAGCAGCTGACGCTGCCGAATGCGGCCGAGGTGTGGAGCTTGGCAGCCATGAAAATGGTGCCAACAACAACAACAACATCAACTACTATAGCGCCTACAGAGCTGGCAAATGAAGTCGAGCTGCAGCAGCAGAACCAAACCGAGCAGCATAAGGAGAAAAATCTGTTAGACTGGCAACAGATAATGTTAATGCAGACTAGTCAAGAGAATCGAACAGAGCTTACGATGAGCACAACGCTTGATGCAACGGAGGCGGCAACGCAGGCGACAACATTGAAACTGGATGCTACGTTAGCCGAGACAGAGATGGCAACACCAGCTAACAGCGCTGTAACAGCTGCCCCAACAGCAACAGGGGATGATTCTGACCCAACAGATCAGCTAATGGCAGCTTTCTATGCAAAGCCTGATTTAGCATCAGGTACAGCAATAGTATCTGCACAGCCAGAGATAAAAACTGCAATAAAAGACAATTTCGATATTATTACAACAGAGACAACTACACAGCCCGCGCAGTTAGCGTTAATAGAACTGGAAAATAATAAGTCAAAACTAGTTGAATATGAGGAAATAATAACAGGGAATGCAACTGCGCAGCCATCATTAACAGAACTGGCAGAGCTTAGCTCAAAATCAGGCAAAACAGAGGTGAATGCAACTGCGCAGCCAGCGTTAACAGAACTCGCAAAGCTTACCTTAAAAATGAATGAGACAATAGATGAAGTTGAGTTAACAGCCAACGAAACGCAGGCGAATCCAACTGCGCAGCCATCATTGACAGAACTGGCGAAGCCTATCTCCAAATCCGGCGAAACAGAGGTGAATCCAACTGCACAGACAAAGTTAACAGAACTGGAAAAGCTTACCTCAAAAGTAAATGAGACAATAAATGAAGAGGAGCTAACAGCCAACAGCACAGAGCAGCCAACATTAACATCTGCACCAACAAAAGAGGACGCTACAACACAAACAGCGAACACAGCTGCGCAGTCAACGTCAACAGAGTCGACAAAGCTTGATGATGTTGCTGTGATAACAGAGCCTGCAATAACAGTGATGACAACAACAACAACGGCAGAGCCAGAGACAGCTGCAACAATACCGACGACACCTGCTGCGCCGCCAACAGCTGTGACCGAGCAGCCTGCAACAAGAGCAACAACAGCAGCAGCAACAACAACAACTACTACTACTACAACGACAACAACTGCTTCAACAGCTTTGCCAAGTGCGTTGAACGACACCCGCAATGCGAGCGAATTGGCAATGAAAGCGACGGCAAATACAAATAATGAAAACGGCGATAAAAGCAACAATGTCGACAGCGAGAGAAACAGAGGCGACGACGACGACGACGACGTCATAAACGTCTCCGCCGCCGTCTCAACAGTCTCAACGACCGAGCGACAGCCAATAACAGTTAGTATGCGAACAGCTGGCGAAGCGAGCACAACAACGACGTTGAGGACGGCGACGCAAAAGTTAACGCCAACGTCAGCGCCGACGCCGACACCGCGAATTTTACTCGAGGAACAATTAGCAATAACAACAACTTTGGCAACGCCAACGCCAGAGCCAACGGAAATCGTCCAAATTAGCAATGAAGTCAATTTAGAAACAATTACAGTTAAAAATGTGACAAAAGACAATAATAATTTATTAATTGAAAATAGCAGTGAGAGCAGTGAGGGCAAACACAATAACAGTGACAGTGCAGCTCAGCCAATCAATAACAGCGCTGACAAAATTCCAGAACTTCATATCAATAATAACAGTAGTGCCACTACAACAACAACTACAACAAACATACCGCTCTTAACAGATGTCAAGTCTAATAGTAAACTGAATGTGCAGGAGACATTGTTGGAAACGAATAACATTGGCGAAACAGTAGCAACCACAACATCAACAACAGCAATACCTACTACTATTCATACTACTGTTAGCTCAGCAGGATCAACAGAGACGGCTGCTGTTAATGTGCTGGTAACAAAAGTAGCACCTACAACTCCTTCCACTGTTGAGCTTTACAATGTGGACAGCGATGATAATGAAGATAAGCGGCAGCAAATTGAACATGAAAGTGTCACTGAGCAACAGTTGCTAAGTAAAACAAAAATGGCGAATGCAACAACAACAACGACAACAACAGAAGCAACAGTAGGCACTGTGGCAACTGTTACGCAGCAGCTGCCAATAACGTCAACCACCACAGAGGAGCCTTTTATAAGTTTACTAGATGACAGCACCACAACAACAATAGCAACACCCACAACAACAATCACAACACCAGCCAAAGAAGCAACAGAAGCAACAACGACATCAGAGCCCATTTACAGCTCTAGCAGCGCCACTAACGTTAGCATTCACAGCCACAATAACAGTATGCTGCCTGATGAATTAACCACCAGCAACCCCATGTTATTGCCATCACAATCGCCCACCGATGTGACTCATAACATGCAACAGCCGCACGGCAACACTGGCACCGATGTTAACGTCATTATTGCCATCACTGTTAGCGTTATTGGCGTTGTGGCCCTAATCCTTCTTGTTGCCTTCCTCTACTTGATGCGTAAACGTCAAAAGCAGATGTCCTACAGCCAACGCTGTCGTCCAGTCAGCTTGGACGCCTACTCCCTGGACAACGTTTCTGTGTTGGGCAGCGTGCGACGCAAGGGTCGCGATTTGCGTGCCTCGAAACGAACTTATGGCAATGCCGCCTTCGATGATCCCTCGCTGCGGCATAATTTGCTCAGTGCCACGGAGCTGGGCAAGTTTCTGGAGAGGCGCTCGAGTATATTTGAGGAGTTCCGGGATGTGCCGCAGATTATTGCGCGGGCCGATGAGGTGCCAGCGGGATGTGAGGATAAAAATCGGTACGTTAATAAAAACAAATGGGTGGAATTGGATAAGGGTTATGATGGGGGAATATGAAAAACGCGAAAGTAAAGCATTGATCAGAATATTAGGATTAAGAAGAGAGACTGTATGTGATTAAGAGCATGCATTCATTCTTTCTCATTATAAATAGAATTAAATGATGAAGAATACGTTAACTGTTAGGATGAGTAAGGAAGCGAATAGAAAGTGAAAGGTATAAATTCAATGATTAATTCCCGAAAACACTCAGAGAATAAACTTGTTTCTCTGTAACAGAAGAGAATGAATAAATAGTCTGTGCAGCTAATTCAATTGTAGTGAATGGAATAAAAACTTAAACGAAAATAAATCTAAATGATTTTAGTTGACTTCGAGTGTTTTTAAGCAGCTCTCAAAAATATCTCACAAAGTACACTAAAAATTATCTCGTTTCTTATCTTATCAAATGCGTTTACATTAACAAAAAACATTCATGTTTGCAAGTTCAAGTTGCCTTTTAGAAAAGTTATCTATAGAAAATATAAATACTCTCATAAAATATCTCATGTGAAGGTTGAAGATACTAAATATAAATTATGTTTATTATTGATTTATTATTATATGTAAAAAATTATAT